TGTTGAGTATTTCCCGTACCTCACATGTCACCACTCACAGAAGGCTAACATCAACAAAAAAATTCAACATCACCTCAAATGTGCAAGTGCAGCCTTTGGACTCCTGAAGAAACAGGTGTTCAAAGATTGCAACATCAGATCCAAAACCAAGTTCATGGCTTATCAAGCAGTTATGATTCCCACCTTGTTGAACAGAGCTGAGACATGGACAACATGCAGGATACATCTGTAGCAGATTTACCTTTTTGGAGCTCGGGTTGAGTTCCAGGATCGAGGGTCTGCTGTTTGATTGGTGGAGCCCACCCACCAATCTGGAGGCAGTACAAGGGAAACAATGCCCTGCCCTTTTCTGAAGGGAGGGAGCAAGGAGCAGTTGGACCTGAATTGGAACTGCACCAGCCAGGTCTGGAGAACTTCAGGGGTGGAGTCCCTGAAGAGTATAAAGGAAGCGTGATCATCAGACTAGGGAGAGACAATGAGGGATGCCAAGGAGAGAGAAGCGGCAGAGACAGCCGTCCTCGGGACCCTGCTTGAACTTCAGTGGTGCGTGAATCGGCGCACAGGGATCAGGCTCTAGGAGCTGCTCAAGGCAGCTGGAGCTTGTGAACCCGGCAAGTGGCTGGACAGTTGGTGTGGAGATCGGCACACAGAGAGCTGGCCCTGGGAGGAACTTGAGGCTGCTCGGCCCCCACACAGTGTGCAGATTGGCACATGGAGAGCTGGCCCTGGGAACAGTTCGTGACTGCTCAGGCCTCACCTGGTGCATGGGTCGGCGCACGGAGGATCCACCTGGGAGTAGCTCGTGGCTGCTCAAGTTAACCCCAGCTTTAGGCTGAGTTACCAGAGCCCCACGGTGCAGCTCCACTTTTAACTAAAAAAGCTGCGGTGCCCAGAGCAGGGCCTGGGAAAGGGAGGACCTCCAGTGTGAGACCGGGGAGCCAGAGCCTATAAGGGTTCAGCTCCCACGAGAGAGAGAGAGCCCTGGGCTGCCCAGTGCAGGCGCCAGGCCAGCAAGGAGAGCTGAAGGCACTGCTGGAGAGATGCTCTTTCTCAGGATTGGCCTCCAGGGGATGAGGCTTGGCTGCTTCAGGGAGGAAGTGTGAGTTTCTGGGGAAGTGGACCCCATGGGGGAGGTGGGCACAAGACAGGAGGGTCCGCCAATTCCACCCTCCATTGTGGGAGGGGTGTGCTCACATCCCAGGGCCCCAAAGGGGAGAGGCTCCAAGAAACCCCTTGGGGAGGTACTGAGTGCACTCCCTATTTTGGGTTATTGTTGTTGTATCAAGTTCTATATAGCTATGGGTATTTTTTAAGGAAGTTTATGTGGTTTATATAGTCTCAATGTGTTAATATGTAGGTCTAGGAAATATTATTAACTTATTTGGGTTATATAAGTTGAGTCCCCATATGTGTTTATCATGTTGTAACCTTAACTATCTTGTTCAATGTATTATTATATATGCTGTTAGTTATATGGTTTATGTTAATTGTGGGATATTATATGTAGTGACATATGCTAAGGTCTATTATAAATATTTCATGTTGTATCTTATGTATTTATTATAGTAATAAATTGTATATAGTTTAGCACTCAGTCTTGGCCTGGCTCTGTAGAGAGGAGAGGGAACTGCTCTAGTAGCCAGCCCCTCCATCAGCACCTTGCCTAACCCCCACCACTGTCATTGGAGAACAGGGTACACTCTGCCCCCAGGTGTAGTTATGTTTTGTTAGTTATGTTTATGTTAATAACTACCCGAGCTACACATCTAAAATTGTTAGACAAGTACCATCAGTGCTTCCTGCAGAAGATACTTTGAATCCAGTGGGAAGACAGACATACTAACATTAGTGTCCTCCTGCAAGCAAACGTCATGAGTACCAAAGCAATGATCATCTGACATCAATTTTCTTGGGCCAGCCATGTCATCTGCTGACTCCGGATTCCCAAAGTAAGTTTTATTCTCCCAGTTCAGCCAAGGCATACACTCAAAAGGAGGGCAGAGAAACTGCTTCAGGGATGTCCTCAAGGACAAGTTAAAAAATGTAACATCAATGTACTACTCATGGGAAACCATTGCCCAGGACTGCCCCAAATTGGGGAAGAGTCTGCTGCAGGGATCTCAGTACTTTGAAAACTCATGACAGCAACAGGAGATGAAAAAGCGTGAATGACAGAAACAGCATGTCACAGACCAAATCAAGAGTCCAGTACCACACACTCCATATAGAAATATACAAGCTGCAGTTAAGTCTGTTGATCCTGGATAGGCCTCATCAGCTATCTTTGGACACACAGAAAAGACAATCATAGAAGACAATCATCCTTGACTGCAAGGGATTGCCAAAGAAGAAATATTTCCATAGATCGATTTTCATAATTTAAAATTTGTATTTACATTTTTTTTATATCAAAACATAACTAAATAACAGGAGGAAGAGATGGATTAGCTCTAACAGAGAAGCACTTGCATGAGCAATGCAGGCTTTCTTTGGAATGCCTGTCAGGAAACTTTTCAAAATGCAACCTGAACATGCCCAGTAGCGTGATGAGCAGATAATGTATCCATTTTAAGAAGGTCAATGAGACCCTCAGTACTTCTTGTTCAAGACCCTTTTGAACATACTCAATTGAGATATGGTGATATCCAGCAGCCATGTTAGGTGTACCACACTCGCTCAGTGGAGGAACTATAATCCTAGCAACCGGGTTCTATAAATATGGGGGAGACCATGATATATGCTCAGTACAGCTATGCAAAATGGCTGTTTTGATTTGGTTTTAGATTTGGCTGTTTCAGAGGACAGTGATTTGTTTTGGTGTTTCAGATCACTGTCCTGTTTTGGTTCGGCGAAATCTGTTTCACTGATTTGGCTCCACCGAATCTCCCCAGAATCTGTTTCAAAGCCCAGCTGGGCAGGGCTTGGGGCCCCAGCAGGGAGCAGGATGGGGCTGTGGGTGGCTTATCCAGGGGAGGGCCACTGCCCTCCATGCAGGCAAGGAGAACCCCCCACACAGATCTCTGATCCCTGCAGAGCCAGGTCACACGGCAGGGACCTGCACTGCCCTGGCATGAGACCTGGCTCCTCAGGGAGCAGAGATCCATGTCGAGAGTCTCCTAGGCACTGCTGCCCACCCCATGCAGCCCTGGATCTCTGCTGTCTGCAGAGCCAGGTCATGCAGCAGGGACCAGCACTGCCCTGCCACATGACCTGGCTCCACAGGGAGCAGAGATCCGTGCTGGAGATCTCCTCCCTGCCTCTGCCCACCCTGTGCAGCCCTGGATCTCTGCTCTCTATGGAGATAGGTTGTGAGGCAGGGACCAGCACTCCCCTACTGTACAACCTGGTTCTTCAGGGAGCAGAGATCTGAACTGCGGTCTCCTTGCCACCCCTGGCCACTCCATGCAGCCCGAAGTGGCCAGGGTAGTGGGGTGGGGGGGGCGGCCAGCAGTGGCAAGGAGACCCCTGGCATGGATTTCTGCTCCCTGCAGAGTCGAATAGAGTGGCAGGGCAGCAGCATACAATTGTTTCCCTGCAAGCCTGGCTCCGAAACTCCAAAATTTTCTTAAACATCTTCAAAATGTTTTGGATGCCCCATTTCATTCTGGAGATATTTCTGAGTCTTTCATTTTGATTCAGATTCAGTTTTTCAGGCACCAAAACAGCCCAAAACATCTCCAAAATGAAACAGCTGCTGAAATTTCGCACAGCCCTAATGCTCAGTTCTGCCAGGAATTGCTGCTAAAAAAGGGAGCAGGTTTCTACCAAGGAGTAAACACAGTAACAAGCTTATCTGTTCACCCTTTGTTCCTTATACATTAGTGACAGAAGTTATTGTAAAACTGAGTATTATATCTGGGTAATTTATATGTTGATATCATAGTTACTATTGCATATGAGAAAGTTTATAGAGTGCTATGGGTAGGTTTCCTGAGATCCACCCTTAAGAGAATAAGAAGCTGTAACTGCTGGTTTAATTATCCAAGTTGTGGATAAGCACTGTGGCAACTGGGGGCCATGAAACTCAGTTAATCTAGAAGCCCCTGTGAAGATGGATACAGCTTTCTGCTAGGGACTGACCACAGCTAGAAGCTTATAATTTTAGTCCTTGTTCTTTATAAAGCAATAAAACCTGAAACTGGAGTGCAGATGTCCAGGAAGATAGATAGATAGATAGATAGACAGATAGATAGATAGATATCGCAATTCTCAACATTTTCATTGTACAATTTCCACGTATTACCTATTATCCACTTGTTGTTATAGTAAAAGGAGTTTACATTTTTAGACCCTTTCTTGTTTCATTATTAATCACTGAGGCAATTGTAATGGCAAGTGCCCCACATTAGGTACTCCTGGGTCCATATCTTGAACCCAGAGGAGTGTTTATTCTATTCAGCAAAATCCTTACATTAGGCTACCTGGATAAAAATGGAACTTAAATTTAGGCTCTAACCATACAATTATGCACAACATAATTTCAGTGTCATTAAAGTCACTGGACTACTGAAGTGAGTAGGTTTTTTTTTAGATGAAAATTTCCTGGAACTTCACATAAAATGGTTAAATAAAAATGCAATGTAATGTCTAAACCATAAATAAAATGTTTGGTGAGGCACTACTCTATTGTGTGTCCTAAGAGCCATTAGCATTTTAAAAAAGCAGACCAAAACTGCAACCACACAGTAACAATAACAGTGTATTTTGATGCTTTACTTAAGCAAATAAATGATATTGTGTGTATCATATGTTATAAAATGAAAAATCTTCACAATGCAAACACTTTCTACCAGGGAGAGTGCTTCCTCCCAGGGTGAGTACCATTGCTTGTCCTCAACAGCAATTATTTTCTACTATATTTCTTCCTGATAACCCCTCTGACTTCTTATCAATGAATGTTCAATCTGTCATTTCATGCAATGTCCTAAGGAGGTATATTATATATACCCATGTAGGAGTGGAGGGAGGGTTGAGAGGAAGAGAACAAATTATTAATATTGCTACAACATAAATGTATTTCTGAAGTTTACTTCAGTGTCTTTTTGAAGGCACAGAATGATCACAAAAAAACAGCTCTTACCATGGCAACTGGGTAGCGCTCTATTCCATCCAGGCCTTCCGTCATCTCCCATAATGCAGGTTAGTGTAGAATATCCTTGAAGAACATAACCTGCATCACAGTAATAAGTAACTGTTGACCCCAATTTATAATCCATTCCAAGCCTTGTGCCATTCATTATATTCCCAGGATCAAAGCAGGACTCGCGTAGCTTTGCTGTGAAGGAAAGAGAATGCAAAACAATGTTGAAGATACCCTGAAGTTTTAAAATAGTTCCCCCTCCCCAAGTCATTCTCCAGTTTTGTAGACAATTATCATTTCTTCCTTTTATACTTCAGATGTTCTGTTTCTCTGATCTTTTCTACAGTTTAGGAAGACTGGACACAGTCCTCTATAACATTCAACAGGTTACTTTTTCTAACGTTTCCTCTACAGAGGAACTCATTGGGTCCACCTCCAGAAAAGAATTCACAAATCAAGACCTGAATAAGAATCTAATGTATGGTGTTCCAAGGACAATTAAAAATGAAATACCATTGTTGATTGACTGAAAATTCAAAAACCAATTTATAATCAAATAAGACACGTACATAATCAGCATTTCAGGACTTGTTCAAAATCAATGAATGGTTAACTGGTGTCTACAAATGCCATTTTTAAAGCAGCTTATTTTCCTTGTATAAACCTATTTTGCTCATTATATTACTTGATATGAAAATACTCTATTATCTATTATTTATTTCATTTTAATAACATTCAAAGCCATCTTCACAGATGTGTGTTATGCTTCTCTTTTTCCTTGCATAGTATGTATAATAAAATATTTAATTCCATCGATATTGCAGGAAGGAAGCATACTCCAGGTAAATACCAGCTCAGTAATTTTAAATAGCAACAATGAGATTCAACAGGAAGAAAGTACATGCACAATTTCCATTGTAATTGCATTTTTTAAAAAGTATATGATATTAAACAATAGCACAATGAAGAAACAAACAGATGCATGTTGTGGCTTAGGGGTGTGGAGGAACTAAGAACATTACTCGAGTCAGTAAAACAGAAGAAACCTCACTCAATTATAATAATTAAGCATTTCTTCCCTCCTTCCCTCCCCTTACAAGAATTACAAAGAGATAAACATTGTGAATACAAGCTTGTTATAGCTGCATGAAAACACACAAACCTGAACTATATAATTTACCCTATTTAAATTCCATCTGACAAATATTATCAGAATCACACAAATGATCTGAATGGTTCTTCACAAGTGAAAAACACCAAGACAACAAATAACAATAGTGTAGCTATCCATAGGCAGTATGTATTCAAAGTACTCATTCAAAAATGCTGTATTGCAATGCTTATACCATCATAATGTCTCCACAGAGATGAGGTGGGACGTCTCAGGAGGTGCAATATATTATCAGCAAATGAGAAGAGAATGCCACAAGCACATTGAAAATTGTTCTAATGAGAATTCAATAGTCTGAAGATACAATTTATGGTATGTCAGTAAAACACCATATCAAACTTGAAAAGCCTAAGGGGCCCCCTCAGGACAAACTATAATGTTTTGCAGTTGTTTAAGAGTGTTGTTAGTTTAAAATTCCACGCTCAACGGGATGGTCTGAAAGCCCATAAAAAATCGAAACGGTTCCATGGACTTCTACAATCTCTGGATGGGGCCCTGCAACAACTCACTCTGTCCCTTTTAGAGGGGACATTCTGCCTTGTTGAGAGATCCCAGCTGCTGGGCATTTAGTCAGGCAGGGAGTGTTCCTTTAGGAGCTTTAAAAAGCTCCTAGAAGAGTAACCAAGACAGAAGGGAGCAAGCTGTGAACACAGCAGCGTGCTGTGAGGAGGGGACAGACTGCTGTTCTGGGACCAGAGCCAAAGGACTCTCCCCCTAGTCCGTAGGATAGGACAGAAGGGTTTGGTTCGTTTACTTGTTTGTTGCTTAAAGGCTATGGTTGAGATTACATATTATAATTAGATCATGTTAAAAACACTTAATTTGAATGATCACACATTAAGGTGCATTAGCAAGTGCTAAGTGCCCTTGACAAGAATACCCAATTACCTGTGAGGGCACATATCTCACAAGAAAACCAGTTTCACTCTCCAATCTCTGTTTTAATCCTCAAAGGGAATTTTCAAAACACCTCTCACTGATGAGCCTACAAGCTTCACTTCATCAACCTCCTGGATACAAAAAATTATGGACTAAATATAGACATTGGATTTATGACACATTATAACCTGCCTGACAACTGACTCCACAGGTACCTCTCCACTGTTTACCCGCTACCTTCATCTTCCTTCTCCACCCCCTGCAGTCTTTTTCTCACCCACTGAATCCTCAATTTACATCTTCACTGGCTGGCTCTCTTGCATACAAACCAGCCTCTGGAATGGAAGAAAAAAGGATTAAGGGGGATTAAGGGAACCAGGGGGAGGGCATCATAAGGAAAGACACTAGGAGGCTGGGGAAGGAGGAGCAGGATTGGAGAGGGAAAGAGAGAGAGGGGGGAGTGGATGGGTGGGAAGCTGCTGGGCTGCTGCTTCTTCTGCCTCCCAAATTGCCACCTCAACCCCCAAATTGCCCCCTTCACCTGCACATTAGTCCCTTCCCACTCCAGCTGCCACCTCTGACTCTACCCTGGATCACCTCTGCTGCCTTGATCAGCTCAAGAGTGGCTGAGATGCTGGTGGAAGAATTCCCACTCTCGGCCTGCTCCTGGGGTGCCTGAACACTATGCTCTCCAGTGCACCCAGACACAGCCCCTGTGGAGCTCTGCAGCTGAAGGGGAAGCAGGGCGGGCAAGTTGCTGCCAGGGAGCTGTGAGGCCTGGTGGGGACTGGATCATTGTGCATGGGGGCGGCACAGGCTTTAAGGAGCCTGGGAACCCTCTCCCATCACTGATGCCTCCACTCTTGGGATGACTGGGGAGGAAGAACAGCAACCTAGGGGTGAAGGAGCTAATGAGGGGGTGGAGAGTGATCTGGGGGTGGAGGGAACAATTACAGGGTGCAGAGAGATCCCAGGGCTGATGAGAGCAATGGAGTGATTTGAAGGAAGGGGAGAGTGATCCAAGTGGCATGGGGGGGTCCCTCCACGTTTCCTCCCTGGCCTATACTGTGGCTAGAGAGCCAGCAAGCAGGGCAGGCTTGGAGCCTAGTTGCACCCCATGTCACATTCCTTCTTACCAGCCCTCTAGCAGTAGGTCTGACTCATGCACAACAGAGAGGGTATTAACCCTGAATGTGCAACTAATACCTAGAACTAGTTAACCTTGGCATAGACTAATATTTGTTAGAATTATCACTTGCTAGGAGGACTGGCTGAGATACTTCTCAGGAAGCGAAGCCTGCCTATAGAAGCAAGCAGGCTAAGCAACCCACTTAAAAGTCCCACTCTACCTCTGACAGTCTTAGGGTTCAACATTTCACTTGATAGCAAGTCGTCTTTGAAAAATGAATAAAAATTAACGTCTTTATACACAGCTACTTGACATGGAAACAATTTAACTATCAAGAAGGATAAAAAAAGAATAATATGACTCTTAACTATTACCTGTGATTTGTTGTATTTGAGGATCTTTGTTGAATATCATTTTTGTGTATTTGACCAGAAAATAAGAATATCTAATGTCCTTCTCTGTCTGCTGAAGTGTTCATCCTAGAACACTGGATTTCAAAAGTAATTCCACACACTAAACTTCAATTCTCTTCCAGCAAAGAAACACAGAAGAACAAAGCAGCCTTCTGGTTAGCAACACATGCCAAAGAACATCATCCCACTGGTTCACTCTGGGACAAATTTAAGGCACTAGCTCTTATTCTAAAATGCCTAATTTATAGGCAAGACTTCCTTATTCTAATCATGCCCCCTTGGAAAGCTAGAAAAATCCAGAAGGCTGTGTATACACCAGATCAGACATACACCCACAAATCTGGAACTCACTTCTGGAAGAGAATAGCATGGCCATAAAACCAAGAAAGGTAAAACTGTAATGAAAACCTGACTTTGCCACAACACCAAAGTCCACTCTTCCCTAATGAAGATACAGAGGGGGAAAAAAGTGTTTTGTGCAGATTCCATAACGCTAGAAGATGCTTATATATTATAGAGATAAGGATTCATAAAACATATGGACAAAATGAGGTGGAATAATTTACTATATATGGAATGTAAACCCAACGGTTACAGTTGTTGGATTGCTAGAATGTGTGTATGGGCACAGCAGGAGGAGGGGGCAGGGCATTTCATCACAGCGTGTATCTGGTGAAAACACAGTTATTTTCCCTACTCAAAAGATGCAATTAGTGATAGATCCCCAGCACTGTTGATTGAATACTAAGGTATTGTAAAACAGAGCTTTTTTAATTGAACTGGATTTAAGCATAAAGCATTAAACTGCTGGTACCTTCATTTTACAAATTCAGTCTCAAAATAGAAAAAATCAAGCTTTAAGATATGAAAAATGGTATCAGTTAATATGAAATAACAGGGGCCACATGAAGTTTCACAACATACCTGGAACTCTTGTCACATAACAATGTAGTGGGCCATTCTGAGATTCTGTTTCTCAGTAGCCAAGACTGTGGAAACAAATTCAGAGATACCACACATCTGAACTTCTGGGCATTTATACCCATACTCCAAATGTGGGGACACTTTCTCTCACGGCATCTCATGTATCAGTGTCTCCGCACTGAAAAATGGCAGCAGGGGTGCTTTAGCTAAAGCTCGTTGAATGAGCTTTAGTTAAAGCACCCATGCCACCATTTTTGAGTGTGGGGAAGCTGATTCATGAGACACTGGAGTCTGCTGGATCATAGTAATTACCATGCTCCAGCAGATTCAATTAATCAAGTCTGCTCCAATACACTGTAATTACAGTCCTCAGTTTTCAGACTTGCAAGACTTACCAGCTTCTCTCTGTGTTTTATGATACACTAATTTAACAACAATGAGTAGGGGGTACACATGGGTGCACGTGCACCCCCTGAGATTGGCAGTGAACCTCCTGAGAGTGGCTGCCACCAATGATGCCAGCGGTGCCTGCGGCTGGTCATTGCTCACCACACTGCCCCCCTCCCCTCCACACTGCCAACATTGCTGTGGCCTTCTGCTGACAGCTGATGCTCAGCCCACCCTTGCCACAAACGTCAAGTCAGCATGGCCACCTGTGGACAGTCTCCACTTGCCGCCG